GTGCAATGAGAGATTTACTTTCCATCAGTCCTTCATCCTAGGCAAGTATGTGATGACAGTGGAAGCAAACATCCAGTTGTTAATAGAACCCTGTTCAGCTGGCCTCATAAAAAAAAAAAGACATCCCCATTATTCTACGCTTTCCTTTGTTCACACTGTTGCCATCTCCTCAGCCAGGAAAGTCACTTTTCACTCTCCCAAAAGGAGCTGGATGACCAAATGAGATGGCTGCTAATGAGACCGGTCACAACATCTTTGCCAGCAGTAAATTATCTTAAACATTCCACTTGTTCCGACTTTAATTGGTCAATATTTAGAAGTGTGATCAACACGGACTGGACAGCTTCATTCACTTCCTCCGCAGCCATTGCCAAACTACAACCATAGACAGACTGAAATTAAGAAGCAATGTAGAAAATCAACAACATTGCTAATAACTCCTTCTGTTTGCTGACTGGCACGAACGAAAGTTTCCCTGAGAAATCAAGCTCAATGGGGGAAAATCTAGACAAAGCACTGAAGAGAGGTGAGAATCGAGCAGAACTGTGTGGGAAGGCAAAAAGGCCGTGCTGCCATCTTCCACGATTCACTGGGACATGCACTGGAAAAAGGAGTTTTGTAGGATGTTATTTATATGCAATTAAAATGATTTATCTTTTAATCAAGCACGTTAGTTTTTAAACCTAATTTTCAATAATTGTCAAATTGCAACAGAGTTAAATATTTTATTTTGGTAACATTTCCTCCCTAGCATTTTTGGTTACAATTTAAGTGACAATGATGTGCCTCACTTGTTTATATGGGTCACAGTATAAAGCAACAACATAGCAAAGATCAGTAACTGTTGTGAGGCTTGTAGTTATGACCTATTTTGCGTTTGAGGAAGAATTCAACCTTGTATCCAACACTAATGCTGTTGTTGCCAGTGAGTGGCATATTTTAGCTCTGGTTGTCCTGTTGTCTTAGTGGAATAGTTTTTTTTTAAATTTCATTTCAATTTAAATGATTTTAATTAATCACAATCCTGCTCTTTAACACACACACATACACACACACAATATATATATATATATATATATATATATATATATATATATATATGTATATATATATATATATATATATATATATATATATATAAACACATTGACACACAGCCACTCCCTTATGCTCTTTCTGTGCAAAACGACTGAACAGGTGTACCTAATAAAGTGACCAGTGAGTGCTATACTAAGATAATTCTGTATTAAGAAATTTTCAGATATTTTGCACTTTCAATTAAATTTAATTTGGAAAGTTTTACCATTTGTGTCTAAAGTTTAAGTCAAAATAAAATAGAATGGTTTGAACGGCTGTTTAATTTAGATCAGTTATTTTAAAAAATCTATCAAATTGTAGCTAGTTTTTTTTCTTTTCTTTTTTTTTGAGTATGTACAATTTCACAATTATTTGTAATTTTCTCAATTAATTTTTCCATACCCATTACACTGACATAATTTCGACAGGGAAATAAGATTTTATGTACACTGTTAAATGGATGATCAGATGCTATTTTTAGTTCTAACAGTTTATGTCGACGGTGAAATAAAGGTCAACCGTAAGATAAATTGCCTGTTATTTCCAACAAAGCGCGGTCTTATTGTAATGTTTCAACCTCGAAAACTATTCAGGAAAGGGAAAACGCTTTATAACTCCTTCCCACCTGATTTTATTGGTTTAATAAAAAAAAAAAAAAAAAAAAAAAAAAAAAAAAAAAAAAAAAAGGTTTTCTTTTTAAACACCCAACTCCCCCCACCCCGTGGGCGGTTCAAACAA